GCTCACGCGGCTTCAGTCGGCTGCAGCTTAAAATAAACGACGCCAACGATCTACTGTCGCGGCCGCTGCAGCCCCATACATTGACATAAAAGGCAGCTGGGGGGGGGGGGGGGGGCGCTTCGACGAACCTTCGCCTTCCCCTCGAAGGGGATCCCTGCGCACGCCACTGATCTTACTCGTGTGCAACACGCGGATCTACGGTGTAAGAATAGTCGGAAAGTAACCACATGTTTGTTTCGTGCTCCTACACTCCAACGGCGCCAACGAGCCGCAGGTGACGGAACCGGCCCCCTCAGCGTGTACTGCCCACAATGTTCCAAAAATGCTCTTGCACATCATGACAACCTACGCATAACTATAGATATCTTTGAGAGATTTTGGCGAGTCCGCTAAGTGAATGGTCTGTTTGAATACGTGCTTGCCCGGCCGAGTGACAAGGAGGAAAATGGTCATACTTTCGCAATGTGTGTCTAGAGCTGTGGAGAAAGAATCAGTTCACCTATGAAGGAGAAATTGGAAGTGCTCTCAAATAAGTAACAAAAAGATAGCAAGGTTATGCTGAAATGACATATTAAAGCTGTGTAAAGAACTTGCACAGTCCCTGCAGAAGTCCTAAAAACATCGTCGGTGCTCTGGTCTGCCACATCTCCTTTTGACTGCGATAGCAACTATATGGTCACTCTCGGCTAGTTTTTTGCCGTCATCGCCGTCACCGTATATGTATACGTATCTATATATACGACGCGCCTAGCTCGTCGCGATTCGCGGACGCGCGCTTATCTCCCACGCGTACTTTGTTCCGCGACTGGGGGAGTTGGGTGCACGTGCTTATCCTTCTGAGGCGAGAATCGTGTGCCTTCGGCTTTCACCTGAGCGATTGCGTTGTTTGCCGGGCCCACAAGTCACTTCGCTCCACTGCGCATGCCACGCGTTTGCGAAAAGAGCGCGCTTTTCATACCCAGCGAAGAATCGCAACTGGGACAGTTTGCACTCATCTGTACTTGTGATTACGTTTCGTCCTTCGTTTTTAGATGCGGAGCATCTAATACTCGAGGCTTCTAGTGCGGCGCCGTCCGCAAGCTTCCTCCTCCTTCTTCCACCATCTGTGCATCCCTTCCTCCTCTACACACCGCGCGCGCTTCACTCCTCCACCATCTGTGCACCCTTCCTCCTCCACACACCGCGTGCGCTTCTCTTCACGAGCATTCGCTAGCTGTATAATGTAGCGCGCATGCGCCGTTGCGCTTCTCCCCCTTCTCGAACATTCGACAGCTGACAGTGCATGCGCCGTCGCGCTGTATATATACTCAAGGTCGGTGCTCGCTCGCTCAGTTGCCGCTCATCGGTTGGTTTGTACGGCGCGTCGACGTCCGAGGTCGCAATGATCGACGTCCCTTCGACCAGCGCCGGCCAAAGTGGCATCTAAAAGCCATCGTGCTCAAAGTTCGTCGCAATAAATAAACACCGCCCTTTCGCATACGTGTCGTACGTGTTCACTCATTTAACACCTCTCCTACAACCACGTTAACCAATTTAGCCAGCGACCCAAGTAAGTCGCACTTGAACACCCCGTTAACCAATTATATGCTCCGCATCCTCCTCAGTGTTCCCCCGAGGGAAGCTGTGGGCAATTTTTCTTCAAACAGCGCGGTAAATGTCGAGCGGTAAACGTTGTTACTTCGCTCTCGTCCTTTGTATGTCATGCGTCATTTGTGCATGAGCTTCGCGCTGCACGTTTCGATCAGCACGCCGTTTTCAGTGCGACATCAAAGGTTGTTGCTGTCGCGTTCGTTGCATCGCCCTTGCGGGCGAAACTGACTTTTCTATTTTTGTTCCGACGCTTGCGTCATGTTTTATGTTTAAGCTGAATTGTATTGCAGTTAATTCAAAGCTTGCACTAATTCGCTGTCCTGGTTCGTTTCGGCACGTACTTGTCCAAATTACTTGCCATATTCTGCATCTATTCCGCAAGGTGTTTCCGTCAGTCGCCCCATCTCAAGCAGGAGAACTCTGCAGTCCAAAATCCTAACATCTGCATTACAGTAATCTCTTAGTAGGCTTCTTTGATCCTTGATCAGGAGTTCTTCCGGAAAAGAGCACAACCAAATTATGCGATAATCGGTCTTCCACTACATTTAAGTTGCATTGCTTCAAATGAGTACAAGGTCATGTAACGACTGACGTGGAAATTGTGTTATCCCAAACATTTAGTCTGAGATCGTAACTGAAAAAATTCATCAAGGTAACACCAGTTCAACCCACTGCAAGATCAGCCAGATCTACTCACGACAGATGAAAATCTCCCGCAACACTGCACGGGTGCCACAAGGAACCTTTTTCCACGTGTAATCTTGAAGCCTTTGTAAAAAAATCGCACCATATCCGCAGAGTGAATATTGGGTGGGGCGTCTGTCCGTGTGTCCGCATGAACTAAAGCGCGAACGGACGTAATCGTGAATGTACAGACGCATGGACGGATGTACGGACGGACGCTTCGCCCCCACTTATCATCATCATTGTGGGGTCTCGAATTGGCGAGCGCCACCACCACGTTATTAGAGTGAACGGACACAGCAGACGCGGTCGGAACAAACCAAACAAGACACATTTATTTAACTGCTTTTTGATCAAATATATCGTCAGCCGAATTATTACATCAACTGTGATCCACACGCTAAACGACCTTACGCAAAATTACCATACACTCAAACAACATAACACAAAAGGCGGCGTCGCCATCGCTTCACTTACCATGTGAGCCTACCGCAGCCCACGGTGCCGTCCACGGCAGACCCACCGCTACCGTTGTCGGATAGGCAGGAGATGCGGCGCCGAAACGCTTTGTCCCAGAGTCACACTCAACTCATCAACCCATCATCATCCTACGTCTGTCCCGGTAGCGCCTCCCCCCAGGGTTGTGTGGGGGGACGATTTGTTTCGGGCAGACGGCCATGCCCTGGCAAGGGGGCCACCGTTCGGCGCCAGGCGCCAAACAGACGCGGCCTGCCTCCCGGCATACAAGCCAGGGAAACCCGACAAAGGGACTATCCTCCGGCGAAGCAACTTCAGTCGCAACGCGCAAAGTAAACGTACCCTGGCAGGGTGGGCTATCGCAGCGCGTAGGGTGCGCTGCGGTCATGGCCCGTCTCCTGACCGCTAGGGCCCAGCGAGACTTGACACAGGGGCTACCCTTCGGCACGGTAGCTCTCGCCACCACACGCAAAGTGGACGTACCCAAAAACGTGGCAGCGGGACACCCCTCGGTCGCGGTAACTTCAGTCACCACAACCAAAGTGCCCGTGCCCTCACAATGTCGCGCGGCTGAGAGCCTGCGACGACGCCCCCTCAGGGCGGATGGGCTATCGCTCGGCGCGAGGCGCTTTGCGGTCATGGCCCGTCTCCTCACCACAAGGGCGCAGCGAGACACAATCCGTTCTGTGGGGTCTACAGGACTACTGTTTGGTGCAGAAGCCAGTGCCGCTGCACGCAAACCAAACGTACCCACGGAAACCGGCACGGCTGAAAGCCGGCTTAGTCCTTCTCGAAGAAGGGAGCCACTTTCCGCCTCGACGAGTGGAGTTGCCGAGCCTACAGAAGGGGCCAACACGGACCTTGCGGGTAAAACCCGACAAGGTGACAGGATCACCTTAGCACATGCGAAGCTCGGGTGAAAGACCATGCAGACCAAACTCGGGGGGGACTGGCTCACTAGGCCTAGTCGTGGAGCCTTAGAGAAAGCCATCATTAAAAGTTGATGGTTATCTGCCCTCCTGCCTCACTGAAAATCACTGCCGGACGGTACCACGTCTCGTAAAACTTCTTTGCACCTAGGCGCTGCCACTCTCGGTGGAGAACGAACCAGACCTCCTTCCGTACTTTTGCAAGCACTTCGAGGAGCCCGGGTCGCTTGCCGTCAAAGACGGCACGGCACCGTGCCACCCACACTTGGTAGGAGCACTCAACAAGCAGAAGCACGTATTGCTTAGCCGCTTGTCGCGACAGGGGATGAAGAAAACGAACGGTGTTGAAAGGAACACCTGGGTGGCCAAACAAGCTAGCTATCCTTCGATGGAGGGCAGCTGGTAGTGCGCACTGAGAGAAATCGTGAACCAGGTCCTCCATAGTGCCACAAAAAGGGCACACTCCTCGTTGAGCAATTCTTGTGAAGGGCCTGAACCTTACACTCTTAAAAAAAAAGTAGTGCTACTTGCTACTTTTGGGTAGTAACAGTTTGTCACATATGTTACAACCCTGTTAGTAACGGGAGTTAGTAACGGCAAGCGTAGTCACTGTTACTACTCTTGCCGTTCCTAGCAGCAGCTAGTAAAAGCAAGGGTAGGAATCCTTACTACCGTTGCTGTTACTAACAGCAGGTAGCAACAACAAGGGTAGTAACTGTTACTGGCCTTGCCATTACTACTTCCTGTTAGTAACGGCATATGTAGCAATAGTTACTACTACTCCCATTACTATAATATGGTTGTAACATATGTGACAAGCCGTTGCTACCCAAAAGTAGCAAGTTCCACTACCTTCTTCCAAAGTTACGAAGCTAATATGTTAGTAATCGATGCTACGTTCTTACTAGCTACGGCTGGTATGGAGGTACGACAGACTCTTCGAATACACAATTGTGTGCACACCAGGTTAGTTGAATTGATTATTCTGATGGCCATATTTTACCGAGAACATTGTAGCTGTAATGAATGCGACGAAAATGCGGGTATATATACCAATAATATAGATATGCACTATACATATAAAATCAGAATAATTGCCAATGTATTGCATCATGGTATTTAGCACTTTTTCTTGGAAAACACCTGGTTCTGTTCCACACTGCGAAATATATTATCATGAAAGACACTACGAACACACCTCCAAATTCACTGCTGAGTGTCAACGGCCGTATAAAACCACAGGTTTATGCGGCTGACATTGTCAGGAACAAAACAATGCATTGTTCCAAAAGCCAGGGAGCAATGAAATATGCCACACAGTGCATTTTTATATGAAAACATTTATTGATAACACACGTCTGTAGGCATAACTTAAGTTGCCTTTTCAAGCGATGATATTTGCCGTATGACTAGCGGCATCTGCTTTGCACTTGTCGGCAAGCCACAGAAATGTTCAAGTAGAGTGAATGTTTTTTTGTTGGCGCCACTGTACTTGACATCGAATATCCAGTATATTTCCATAAGCGCCGTCATACCTGCAATTACATCAAGCACCTCTACACTAAGCCCTTCAAAGCTCGCAACTATGTTTGTAGCTTCAGAGGCATTTTTGCCCTTCAGCGAAAGGGCAGGGTAGGTGTCCTGTAAAATGAGTAATACATAAAATCAGCATCACTGATGAAAAGTATACTAGCTGATATAAAAAAAGGTAAAGCAAATAAGCTCACCGGTCCCTGCAGAAATCGCGGCTGCTCCTTTAGGAGCATGGGCAGCAACTCGACAATGCCAACGGCAAAGCGATCTGTTGACGAAATATTTTTAGGCACATCAAACTTTCACATATAAGGGCATTGACAGTAATACTCCTATGAAAATGACTTATAAAAGTTTGGAAATTTGGGAAAACTGGAAAAGCTGGCAAGCTTCTACACGTACATTTCTTTTCGTCACCATCCAGTGCCTCGACTTCTTCTTCAATTGCTTTCACAGCTTCCTTCGCGCAACGACGACACTTCGCAAGCTCAAAACACCGGTCTCCATACCGGTTTATAAATTCCAGGACCTTTTTTTCTAAGTTAACGCCAGTGAGAGCAATGAACTCCTCATGAAGCTAGAACGACAAAAAAATTGTACCGAATCACCAACAAATTTGCAACTATCGATAACATAAAAAAACTCATTGTTAAGTTCTCTCACATACATTTCTGCAGCAGGATCAAAACCACAGCTGTTTCTGCTCACCATTTCAGCCTTTGCCAAAGCAGGGTATTTCAGCACCACATCTGCTGTTGATGGCCTCATTTCCTTCATCCACTTCTGTCTAGATGGTCTTGTCTGCTCCATAGAATCACCGAGTTTTTGCATGTCAGGAATAGGCCGCTTGATTTCTTTCACCATGTAGTCAATATGGCTATTAATTGTAGCCTCATCATGCTGAGAAGCGACATGTTGGGAGAGATCTACAATCTAATCAGCAAAAAAAAGATGGTACTGCACAGTGAAAGATCACGACAAATGACATGAAATAGGCAGACATGAAAACTCAACTTTTTGCTAGCTCAGTTGAAGAATGTTGGCATTTTTTTGAACTGGACATGTGTAGAGAACTCAATTACAGGGTTGACTTACGTAAGAGAACTGAAGCAGTGTGTACTGATACCATCTTGCTCTGCGAGTGTGTCATAAATTATGTTAATATCAAAGTTCTCACAATGATTCTCTCCAATGTCGACCACCTCGGCACTTCACCACTTCCAAATTTACACCTTGTGAACCAGCATATCGCAAATGTGTGTGTAAAACCAGTGAACCACGCCTCCTACCTATATCAGAAGGAGTCTGAAGAGGTAACACTGATTTTAAATATTGCCAACTGCGGTGTCGGTGTTAGAATACAAGAGTTGTTGCCTTTATATGTATGTCATATATGTAAAACTTTGACCAGATATTAGTTAGTAGTGCTTGTTCTTTCATATAAAAAGAAAGTTTGAAAACTTGAAATTTCGAACCTAATATGTATCTTGCCTCCCCCCCAAAAAAAAATGTTCACCTCTAAAAAGCTTCTGGAAAAACATTGGTTTATGTATAGTTACATGGTGTAGTCAACAAATAAAGAGCAATAAGGAGCTTTTCTAATGTAGAGGACAGACAGATATTGAAGCCAAGCATAGCATATGGGCATTGTTTATGGTGGCCACTGAAAGGGCATTAATTATCGCTGGTTGGAGCTTTCACATCACATGCTCACTGAGCTGCAGTAGTTTGATTTCACCTGTCCACTTATTTCAGTACTCATGCGAGTTTAATAGTTGAATCAAAGGATTGTCAGTCACTTTCAGTGATAAGTATGGTGCAAAATGTAGAACACAATATTTAAAGCTGGAATGATGCATGATGTCAATAACAAGCTGATACCGAGCAATAAATCTACTACTTGCTAACCAAGGAGCATGGAATCAGCCAAGTCGGGAACCTAGCTACAAAATGAAGAAAAGAATGAGGAATCGAGCAACATGCCCGCGGCACTTGCTGAAACGCCGAGTTTTAAACATACAGGGACACATAGAAGTTTGATAGAGCGTTACCATCTTGACTCAAATAATAGAGCCTTGCATGAAAACTGTGAAAGTTGTTGTTTTGTTCTCCATAGGAGATAAGATGATTTTTTTGTTTACCAAATTTATTTTGTCTTATTTTGCATTTACTATACTTTAACTGTCAATATGGCCCTGAAAACTTGCCTGGCTTCTTAATGTGTTGATATGAAGAGGTTATATCGTTAAAAACATGAATAATGTTTTACTTCAGTAGCTCACACATAAAATAAGAGTGACTTCATAGTTGAGTTCTATGTACCAGTCCATTTGACGTTTCACTTACCACATGGCAGTGCCGCTTAGTATTGGTGCTTTCTTCTAAGTCTTTGCGTTTTCCGTAAGCTGCTCTCGCTGCTTGAACAGCTGGAACTGTGCACAGAGACTTCCTCATATATGCGAATTTGTATTTCAAGGAGACTTTCCATGAGTCCTGGAAACAACAATTTTTTTTATTATTTCAAATTTCCGCACAGTGGACACTGTCCTCTTTGAACATGGTCACTTTTGAAGCAAATGATTCTTTGGGAACCTTGATACACTGCTTTTAACCTGCTATGGGGCAGAAGCAGATTCAGGTGACAATACCTGGCAAATTTAGCTGTTCCTAGTAATATCAGCATATCTGTTGTATTTTAGCTTTATCTGCTCATTCCAAACTCCGGTTCCTGCATTTTATGTATGTGCTGGAGCCATGCGGCATGGCGAAGATCGTGGCATTTCAGTCGCAGAACTGAGCTTGTGTGAGCCTCTATTCAAGCTGTGATTAGAAACTACATATACCATTAGTGGTAATATTCAATCCCCAGAAGCGATGCATTACATCTGTATTTATCCTCTTAAACCGGTGTTAAAGCTTATAACCAGGGCCAGTTTTTAACTTTATTAATGCATGATATGAATATATTGGCCATGGGCACCTAGTTGATGATTATTATCAAACCCTCAAGTTAATGTCTGCCATTATCAGAGTTCGATGAAACGACTCTAAGAACATGCATGGCAATTATTCAAATGTAATAAATATGGGGTTGAAACTTCTTGAATGCTCTCCAAGAACAAAATAACTTGAAGGGCACCTGCAGTCTAGCTCACCAACATGTATGACATCCCAATAAAGTTATAGGAATGCCATTGCTTTAGTGCTTACCCAGCCTGTGCCAATAGTGTCCCTTAGCACTGGATATTCCAACACGAGAGATTTTGCAGCTGCTTCGTAGAGGCTTCCTGGATAGCTGTAAAAAAGAGCAACTTTAAAACCTGTACTGAATTAAACACATGCAAATACATGCCTATACTTACACTGTTATAGTCATGAGATGATTTGCAATCCACCCTACAATGCGGGATTTAGTGTGACTGGACACTTTTCCTGGTTGTGTCCTTTCAATCGCATCCTTAATATCTAAGGGCACAGGTGGTAGCCTATAATCATTTTCACAGCAGGCAAGCTGCTGACTAGGTGACTGCTCATTACTTTCAAGGGTCTTGGGCAGGCTACCTTCATGCACTGCTGTCACTTTGTCAGTTGTGCTGAAAACAGAGGCTAGTAAGTGATGCAGTTTTCCAAAAGCAATATTAAACTTGGCACCTGAAATTTAGGTACTGACCTGCAGCTCATTAAGAAGTTTTCACTGCACACAAGCCTGATTTTATCTTTCTCAGAGAAGACATGGCCAGCTGGTGGGTCCACAAATTCATCATGTCGGACGTTGTATACCTGAAAGAGATTCAGATGTGATGTTCAAATTCCCATAAAGTTACCTCAATAGGCACAGAACCTGAAGTAAGCAGACTACCAATGTTATATTCAATAGCACCCTAGAATCACTTTACTTGTCCTGTTTTTTTTTATTATTATCATGATGCCGTGTGTATTGTCGAGAAACCCTTAATGTATGTATTGTAAAGAGCATTGTAAATTACTCGTCTGGACATTCGGTATCAGTAAGTTCAGATTTGTGAAATAGTGACAATTAAACTTGTGAAATTTCACTGTTTCATAACATCAATTAGAAATAAACAAAAGCATTTAATGATTGCTGTACTAGCAGAAGATAATCACTGTGCTACAACGAAAAACCACACTCACAGTATCTGCTATCTATAAAATACTGTATACGCTAATGGCACAAGTCTTCATTCAATAGACCATGGAGCCTTATATTTTCGCACGTTGAAGGAATTATTAGGCTGCATTTCTTGCGTGCGCTAAGCTGAAGCAAATTTTTTAGCTCTGTTGTTATCTCTGTCGTCAAACTTTTCTTCTACAGTGTATCACAATTTAGAAATTAGAAATGGCTCTAGCCAAGTTCGTAGAGATCTCGACGTTTCGGAACCAATTCGGTATTTTCCTAAGGAGATGACTATATTGGTCATGGAAGCATCTCCCCGTCTTGTTTGACAATGGCCCCTGCTTTCTCTTTCTCTCGCGTATCGGAGGCTGTGAACGTATACAGAGGGAATTGTTCCTAACGACCGGTTCATGTTTACAGGTGTGTTCTGAATGTAACAGCATTTGAACAAGAGCCTCCTTCATAGATTCCTTTCTGTTTCAAGAACAGAAGCGATGTCGAAGTCGATCTTATGATCGTGCTTCTCATATTACTCTGCAAGAACGCTATGCTGCACTTCTATCTTCCAGACTGTTTCTGGGAAACACTTTCTCTGACCTATGTAGCTGGCTTTACCTGGCAGCTATCACCTTTACAAAAATGGCTAAAATTCAAACTGTGTTTCAACATCCAACACCACCGCTTGGCAACACCATAGTTTTTTGCAGAAGCGAAATCATGCGCTAATAAATACAGTGTTGATAGCCCATTAATGTTTCGAGTGCACACATTTCGGCAATGAAATAGCTAAATAGAGATAAAGGATCCGTCGCTATTCCATTGGTAATTTGAATACTCACACACCTAATAATTATTGATGATTTCACTACACAAAGCAACACAATATATCAAAGAATACAAAGCATTAAACACACCTAACGACACCTGCGAGACAGAAATGCCGACCGTGGGGCAAACGTACAGCATTGGTGAACAAGCATCCAGAACACAAGACTGCGCGCGCACGCACGCACGCACGCACGCACGCACACATACACACACGCACACGCACGCACGCGCACACACACGCACGCACACACACGCACGCACACACACACACACACACACACGCACGCACACACACGCACGCACACACACACACACCACACACACACACACACACACACACACACACACACACACACACACACACACACACACACACACACACACACACACACACACACACACACACACACACACACACAACACTTTACGCTAGCTTTGAGAATTTTCAGTTTCTGACGAGCATACCTGGGAGCACAGCTGGCGGTCCCCCCGCCCCTCACCCTATTGTCAATTAAGACGTAGAAGGGGGTCGCCATGTTTGCCCCACTCATTGACACAATAGGGAGAGGGGTGCTGAGTTTCAGAAGGCAGCGCAAAGTCAGCCAGGGTAGTATGCAGATATCTTTTTCAGAGGGGAGGGCACGTTTCTGATCTATAGTGGGTACCGGGCAGGTAAACGTTCATTTTGTTCTGTGTAGGCAGAGCGAAAAAAAATTTCGGGGTGGGGGGAGAGAACGTGCCCGGCGTGCAACCTTCACCCAGCCCCCCTCTTCAGAGGGGAACCCTGCGCATGCCGATGCTAACAAGCAGCTTCTGCACCCACGCTATTTTCACTATGGAAGATACATGCAGTAACCACAGAAATTAGCCTATTCCATGTCCTTCGAAATTGATAATAAGTCTTTCTTGTAGTCCAATTTTATTGATTTCATGTTTTACGTGCGGTACAAAAGTCTTACTTTTTTTTGCTGATCTCCTTACATACCTAACCTCTTAACATCCTAGCTATGCCTTTATTCGTGAACAATCTCGCTCAATTTGAACACCAGGAAACGAACTCAGCGACGGCCACTCATCTTACCAACGCCGTGTCTTGGTGCATTGCCTGCTCGATAACTGGATGACCAAGCGCGCTGCCCCACTTTCCGCTAATGAAAGTTCGTGCGTGCCTCCGAGAGACAGATCGAGTGCGCATTTTTTTTTACCATTTTCACCTCTCATCCTCTACATCTGTCATTCCCACTTCCCCATCCTCGGTGCAGTGTTGTTGAGTTGACCTCCGAAGTGAGCCACAGTTACGAGGCCACACTTATTTCTTCACTTTTTTTTTAAAACCACCCCGATAGCCGATTCGCACCATTACATTATCGCAACACAACCACTGCGAATGCCAGCAAAGGGTGGTTGCGCGCCGCCGAAGCGGAGATTAAACCTGGTTTACATCTCCCATCAGCAACTCCGAGACCACGTGCACGCTTCGCGGGCCGACAGCTCCAGTGAGAGAGCAGGGCAAGAAAAGCCCCACGCTTCGAAAAGCGCGAGCGCATGCTTGGTAAAACTGTTGAAGCACGTGCTAACAACGGAATATAATCAGTACTGTTTGGGCCACTGTCACAATGCAATTCGATGCACTTCAGGATAGAGACAACATACCTCAATCCGGCATGCTTGCAAAGAATGGCCAAAGTCTGTCGTCTTCAAGGCTTCCAAAATGTCCGCCTCCGTCGGTCCACGAGCAGAAATAATCTTCTTGCGGCCTTGAAATGACACCAAATATTGGAATTCCGGCGGCTCCATGAATACACAAGCACGTGGGCGCGGGAGGAAAGCTGCTGACACGTTCACACTGCGACAACCTGCTCTTTGCCTGGCTAGCCACCCTAGCCTGGCTCAGCTTCCGTCGATGTGTGCGCCCCCTGCCGCGTTTCAGTAATCAGCGCCTCCTGAAGGTAACTATCACAACGACGCTGTCTGTTGTTAAAATTTTGAATCTTGAAGACCATTTGGCTCTGTGCAGCGGAAATTTGTCCTGTCTGAAACCTGTAGCTGGCATGCGAAGGTAATAAAGAACATTTTATTCATTATGCCGGTCCAGTTGGGGACAGCGAGTGAGTAGAAGGGCATGAAAAGAGAACAAGTTCTCCCCCCCCTTTTTTTTTCCTGGTCTCTTCTCTCGCTTTCTTATTCCCATTTCATCTCTCCACTCTAGTCTATTATCCCCCTTCCCCAGTGAACCACTGCTCAGGTGTCGCAGTTGGCGGCAAATATTTGCGGGGTTCACTTTTCCTTTCTTTTCCGATTCTGAAAACCACTGCCCCCCCCCCCCCCCCCTAACGTTCGACACTGTAACGCGCCACCACCTTCCATGTTTATATAGCTTACAATTATGCGCTTAACCAGATGGACATTGGTACAAATAAGTAAGACCACCACAAAGAAGCTAACTCAATTCAATTTGTGTGCATCGAGCGCACAAATTAATTAATTTATATTAATTCTCTGCTGCATGACTCGCTCGTGTAGGCAGATGCCACGTCCGTTTTAACGTGAATTTACGACGACAGAAGTCATGTGCAGCTACCACTTCGCTCAATACTAATTAAGCAGCGGTTGTGTTATTTCAGATAGTGTGATGCAGCTCCCCACGTGTTGTTTTGAAAGGTGTGAGACACAGTTTTCAAGGCCACTCGTAAAAACAAACTGCTTCAAGCATAATGTAGGCAAAGAATTCTGTTATCTCTCGGCCATTCGATGAGAACTTGAATATGTTCTCCGAGCACGTGAATGAAGTGCTAAGATTTCATTTATCGTGGCCATTGAGTTCGTGACAAAACAATCACCGGTGTCAACATCATTTATTCTACAAGCGATATTATGTCACTTCCGCACGGTCTCACTCCGAGAGAGACTCTAATGGAGTGATTGTGTTGCATGTAGGTAATATTCACTATCAAAACCTGTGTGAGAAATTTTTTTTGTTGCTTCAAGGTCTTGTTGTTCTGTTAGGAAAGATATACATACATTGGCTGAAGGAAAGAAGTGAAAACTGAACGGCTCGTTTTTCTTTGTTCGACAGAATATTAATGAGGACTAACAGACAATGATGCCAGAGATAGTATAGGGAATGTTATTCGTAGTTATTGCAATGTAAGTTTGACGAAATAAAAGTGGACGAAAAGGTAACTTACCGCAGTCAGGGACCGAACCTTCGACACGTGCGATGCTCTAGAGCAGAAGTTGGCACAGCGACGGGCCAAATGGAAGGGGGGGGGGGGGCTTTGCGAGCAAAGGGATAATGTAAAAAAACTGTAAAATCATGTTTATTTTAAGCACGCGTCATGAGGTTCCAATTAAACATTGGTTACTAAAAAAATTGCATTTTAGGCCAAAACTGCCTGGTCCTTTAAGTATACGAAGAAATAAGGTTAGAAGGAGAGGGGGGGGTGGACGTCCTGCCGGGGCCACATATATAGTAGTGCCTCGCGGGCCGCAGGTTGCGAACCCCTGCTCTGGAGCATCGCATGCGTTATTCGAAGGTCACAGGTTTGGTCCCTACCAGCGGACTGCTATCTTTCCATGCCATTTTCTTTCTTTACATGTACATTGCAATTACTTCTAATAACACCCTCTATATATTTCTTGGAGTCATTGTCTGTTAGTTCTAATTAAAATCATGTTAGTTGACAGAATAATGGGGCGGGTGGCTGCCTTTACAAAGCTCGTCGGAGATATGACCATATATAGTTTAGCTAGACCACTGCGACGCATTTAATCAGGATGGCCCCGGCATATCGTACAATTGAATGGTATCCAGAGGACCGCTGAATCACACTAAAGAGTTCAAACATATCGGGCGCGTATGTCTTCTCGATCTGCAGTTGTCCAATTAATGTTTTATTATTCTTCTTAGAAAGTATTCCCAACCTCCGCTTCTTAAGATGGCACACTGTCTGCCATATTAAACCAGTACACTGCAGCGTCGAATCGGCATGCATATTCCATCGGCATATTTCACTAGACCAAAAAAAGTGACACTTTTTGGTTGAGATCTCGGTTTGTGCTCCGAAACACGGAGCCCAGAGTGGTCTATAGCCACTCTAGACCACTCTAAGTTACTGTGACCATTGTGCCAATAGACAACTGAGGTGGGTGTACGTGGGGCAACCGGGTTGGTGTGTAAAAATGGCTGATTGTTCGAGTTGGTGTCGGTGTGTAAACATTCGGCTAAGCGAGCATCTTAATAATTCTTCTACAAACGGCTATTCACTCAAGTCTAAACACTGTGTAAAGTAGGTACCAATAACACGTGTCACCCACTTCTCGACAAAACAAACATTTGGTATCGCCGCCGGGATCGTTGCACTCGAGAGTCGTTCAAATTTTTACATCATCACCAGACGTGGACGCAAAAGCAAACCTTTGCTACCTTTTGATGATTGTGAGCTGGAATAAGCATGGTACGTGGGCGTAATCTCGGCACCACACAAGTTGGCTGGACGGTGTCCGTGGGTCAGCCACGTTGACAGAAATGCCTGGATGCCTGAAGAAGCACACCATACCTTATGTGAAATGCGTGACGGTTGCATAAATACCGCTGTCGTGTGGGAATACGTACGTAGGCCAAACAGGACGCTGTCTCAACGACCGACTCGGGAGCATCCTTTATCTCTAAAGAATAAAAGAAATGCGTATTTACCTGCGCATGGTATAGCCTGCAGATGTGATCCTCGGCTTCGCGAGGTCAAGATAATAGGCAGAAGCAACGAAACATTAGTGCGAGCTATTGGGGGCGTTTGACATTAAGAAAAGAGGCACAGCTTACATTATTGATACGACTATTTTACTTTACCAAAACGAGCTGCAGCTTTCTGACACGCGAATGTGACCAGTGTTTACCGATTTTGACGCACGCATTCGCAGAGATTTGTAATCTGGTGGCCTGTTCTTTCAAATAAACAAAGAAGTTTATCGCACGACCTTTCTGCTCCCTCCTACTTATTTACTAGAATCTGTGTTTTTTCCAAGTTTGCGGTATTATGTACCCTACTGACGTTAAATCAAATCGCCCAACAACAATTTATACTTAGTGTTGCATATTCAGAAATTTTTCAAAAATAGTTTCCTTCGCTTTACAAGTACGTTTCATAAATGTTACTTTACTGTTTCTGTCGCATACATTTCACACAAAAAATTCAACGGTAATGTTTGCTTATAACACCCTCATCACCTGTCGAGAACGACGGGTGATGAAATTGGTCCCCCGCATTGAATATGTTCCATATTTTTGATCCCATAAATTATGCAGTTTAAAAGAAAACTGGGTTCCTTTTCGGGCTGCTTGGTGCTATATACATAAAATATGAAATACTCAATCAAATGTGATACATCCTTTTCAGATTCCTGTCGATCTCACTTCAGTTCGGTTTATTACCTTATCTCCCGTGGAATCACCCGTTTAATTTCTATAACCATGGTTAGGAGACTAATTGCGGTTATGCTTGCTGTGCAGTCCTTTAATTAATGGACTTTACTTGAAACAGAGGGACGCCAATCAAAGTAAGGAGTAAACAAATGTTTTGTTTTGTTGTTCTTAGGTGCAATATCAAGACTAACAAAGAAAAACTAGCCCTTGAAATATCCACTTCTTTTCTTCTTTTTTTTTAGCTGCAAGAAAAAATTCCACGATTCGCGTACTTTTTCTTCCTGCCGTGGGGTCGTGCCTATTCTTCATGATGAGCGAAATTATATTGAGCGCACTCGATTAGCAGCGCACCTTAAGCCGGTTGAAGTTACTGGCTGTCTCCTTGCGAAAGGGGCATGCCCTTCCTGTACCGACGTGGGTGCCGCCCGCAGCCGACCAGCCGTCTTGAAAGACGTCAGCTCCTCAGGGGAATGTGTAAAAAGTTTGTTGACTGACTGACTGTCTTGGATAGGCCAGGATTTCGCGAAAACCTGTTTAAATAAGCTGCATCTTGTTCGACGACGCCGGCATTGTGAAAATAGATGCCGTGGTCCGCGAACGTACTCTTTGTCACTGGAACTTGGGGACATCGCTCTTATGTTGCCGTAGCTTCTCAGGAAGTTCAATACTTGCCCTACGAATGAAATGTCACAATAAGCACGTGCGTGGCATGAAGTAAACCAACCCATGCGCTTTCCCTACGGGCAGCCTGTATTTCGGGCACGATGAAGGGCAGGTCCAAGAAATCCACCTGCACAGTGTACTTCCACGAAAAGCATGTCCGTCCAGTTTAGCGTGGCTTTTTCAAATCTTGAACTTGTTTTGCAAATAAACAAACGCTCGCTAATTGCAACGTATATCGTTGCAAATTTGGCGAGTGTTTGTTTATTTGCAAGACACGTATGCCCCTCGCCAGACGGTGTTTCGTCGAATCCTTCACTAGATCTTGAACTTGATTTTGAAAGAAACCGTTTCTGCATCGACCAATATTCACGGCGCTGCTAGACACGTGTAGGAATGTGTACCCTCTCGCTACCCGCAGCTAAGACGGCACATGAATTCCCGTGTAAAGGCAACTACTCCTTATCCTTATTGTCAGTGAAAATATCTCACCCTTGCCACCCACCCCCCCCCCCCCCTTCCTCCACGACGCCCGCCTTCCAGGTGCAGTCTAGCCCGGCCGTGCAAAAACCCTCAAAGAATGCGGAGCTTCCACGTGTTGCCGGTTCATGTTTTTCGCCCTCCGCCGTCTTGTCAACTTTTTGGTCCTAAATGGTAAGCCATGCTGGCCCAGTTCGGCTGGTGAAAACTACGGATAGAACTGCAGTTACGTCTGCCATGTAGCTACCTGTAATCATGGTGAGCCGTCGGCGTACTTAGTCCAGAATACCGCCCAGCGGCTGTACGCAAATACTGCCGCGAGTGAACATGTTACACTCATGCCCAAGATGTGCGTTCTCGTCCACGAAGCTCTGCAAAGTCGTCTGGCACATAAGAGACCATCGCCACGACAATAGATTTTCTATCATGTGCGGTGTGGATGGGTGTGCGAAAACCTACAGTGAGTTCGAATCTTATCGAAGGCACATTTACCGTGTGCACAGACGATATATGGACATGGATGACGCAGAGGAAGCCGGTGTTGAACCAACAGTCCTCGAAGAACCACCGGTGCGTGCCACAACAAGCTGCGCTGCGCACGACACAGTGGGTGATCACAGTGAAATGTTTTCATCTGGTTGCTCGTCGAACATGATCAACACGGAATGCGATGCGGTCTCTGTTCCCACTGCTCGAGTGACCACAATCAACGACTTCGTGCTGAAAATAAAAAAACAGCTGTGCTTACTTTTTTTTCGTGTTGCAGAAGTGCACAAGCTACCGCACTCTACGGCAGAAAGTGTTTTCAATGACTTCAAGATTACCTTTCTCGACATAATTCGGACATTCGCTTCTGTCATTGAAAATAACATCGCGATGGAGTCGGCAGGAATCGAACTGCGCAAGTTACTCGCTGGTGAATTCTTAGAGGATATTTTTCAAGCAGCAAGTAGTAAATATAAGCGAGAGCAATTCGCCAAGCGTCACCTGCCCTACGTAAAGCCTGAAGTGCGTGATCTTGGTGCTGGTGAGACTTTTCAGTTTGTTCCTATAAGTGGTGTCATGCGAAATCTTATGTCCTCTGAGAACTTCCGCGACCACATAGAGCTAGATTTCTCAACAGGAGCGCCTTCACCAACGCTGCATAATTTTAGGGATGGCTGCATATACAAAGAAAAGTTGCATGCACTACTCGAGGATGGCGCGCAGTATACGCTTTTTTTTGTGTTGTACAGCGACGAAGTGGAGATAGTGAATCCGCTGGGGTCAAAGCGGGGTGTTCACAAAATCCTTGTCGTGTATTTCAGCGTGGTAAACATCCATGCCAAATACAGATCACAGCTCAGCTCTATCCATGTAGTTTTAGTTGCACCATATAGACTTGTCATCAAGCACGGAATCAATGTTATTTTGAAGCCAGTTGTAGATGACGTATCAGCTTTATGGATGACTGGTTTCACTCTGTGGAAGAACTCTGTTGCGGTAAAGGTGAGAGCGATTCTTGTTGCCTTTTCCGGTGATAACCTTTCAATGAATCGACTTGGCGGATTCACGTGTTCTTTCAGCCGTGGTCGTCCATGCAGATTTTGTACTTCACCAAACTCGGCGTTCAACACTGCCTTTCACGAGAGTGATGTTCAGGTTCGAAATCTGCCCTTGCACCAAAACCACGTTGCAAGTGCTAAAATAAATAGGCAGCTAGGCACAGCACTGTACGGCGTTAAAGATGAATCTCCACTCACAGATGTTGCCTATTTTGATGTGACAGTGCAACTGCCTCCGGACTTGATGCACGATGTGCTGGAGGGAGCCATTCCACATGTATTAAGGCACATTTTGCAAGGCCTGCTTCGTTCTGGAGTAATTAGGCACTCAGACCTTGATCGTATCCGCACATTCGTTTTTGGTGCTCACGACAAAAAGAACAAACCGGAAGAAGTCGTGAAATCCTTTCTTAATGGGCAAAGTGCATACAAGGGAACAGCTTCTCAAAAGTGGTGCCTATTCAGATTTTTTTCTCTTATGTTTGCAGATATTGTTCCTAAACAAAATGAGCACTGGGAAGTGTACCTACTTCTGAGAAGCATTGCAGATATAACATTTGCCGACAAGATTCCTCACGACCATTTGGCATATCTGCAAGATGAAATACGATTTTTTTTATCTTCATTTGCTGCTCTCTACCCTGGTGCAATAATACCCAAACTGCATTTCTTGATTCATTACCCTCGGCTCATCAGTGAACTTGGTCCACTAAAGCAATACTGGTGCATGCGATATGAAGCCAAACACCAGTACATGAAAACTATTGCACAGCGCAACCAAAACTTTCGAAATATATGCAAGTCTATCGCAGAAAGACACCAGTTGCTGCAGAGTTTCGAATTTTCCAACTTAGAAGTGGACCGTGGCATACAGACTAAAAGATCCAGGCAGCTGAAGCTAGAAGACTTGTGCTCATACATGCGCAAAGTTGTCTCTCCTGGCATTCCAGTGTGGGAAGTTGGTTCTGCCGAGGTGGAAAACTTGGTTTTCAAAAAGTTCGATGTAGTCATCCTAGAGAAGCAACAGCTGCCACTTTTTGGCCAAATAAGAAGGCTGTATATTTACTGCGGAAGCCTTTTCCTGCTTGTAGATGTGCTCATGACAGTCAGATTCGATCGTCACCGCTGGTCGTATGTTGTCGACAATACAGACGAGCAAAAACTTGTACAGCCCTTCAATCTTCCATCACCTCAAGTTCTTGACCTATATTTTGGTGCTGAGCTGATGCTACGGCCTGAAATTATGATTGTTGAATGATGTCCAAATTGTCATCTTAGACAGCTTTTTGTCACGGGCTGAATCTAAACTACTAGTAGCGTAGCCAATGTTTTTTTAGGAGAGGGGTTTCAGTCATACTTCATATATTTTTGCTCTGGAGTTTGTGTATTTGGAAATGTCCTCCCTGGCTACGCAACTGAAGATGACGTATGATTTTATGTTACATCTCTCTTTTAGTGTATGGTTTCTAGTGTGCTGTCTTTACTGTATTTATCTTTTACTGTACCTGATGCACCCTTTCATCTACTGTTTTCTAACCAAAGCTTGTTACATTCTTTTTCTTTTATCAGTGTTATTGGTCTCTTCCCACTGTATTGCTGCAGAGCGCATGGCACTTTGTGTGATAACAAATTAAATGATATCCACCACATTTATAGTGAAACGCATTGTGCATGGTTACTTTGTTACATATTGCTCTGTTTATTTAGTAGTATCCGGAGCGGATAATTGATATGATTGTTACTTTGGACTATCTGATGCGCACATCTGCTGTTAATGTGAAATTGCTACCTTCAACTGCAACCGAAATATTATCATTCAGCGAACAATTTCGGTTAATCAACATGAAACACAATGGGCAGCCACAAAGTTACGGCTTAGGGCCTGTTAGCTTAGAGTTATGCAAATGTACAGCTGTGAAAATTTACACCTATAGAATATTTTCTGTTTTTTACACATGGTGCCTATATATATATATATATATATATATATATATATATATATATATATATATATATATATATATATATATATATATATATATATATAAGGGAAAGAAGTGTATAATTAAGGGCTCGTGTTTGCGTGTTTTGACACAATAATAATGAGATCTAACAGACAATAATGCCAAGAGGAAAGTATAGGGAAAGGTATTAGACCAAATTGTAATGTAAACGTGAAGAAAGAAAAGTGGGTGAAAAAATAACTTTGCCGTGGGCAGGGACCGAACCTGCGACCTTCGAATAACGACCTTCGAATAATATATATATATATATATATATATATATATATATATATATATATATATATATATATATATATATATATATATATATATATATATATATATATATATATATATATATATATATATATATAAGGGTCATGAACCACCCCTGGGCTTGGTGAAGAGAGAGACCGTGATCAAGTATAGAATTTGTATTTCAATACCTTCAACTACTCAACATTTCAACTCTTTACTAACAAGAATACGAAAAAGTTAGTAATACCTCAAGTGAGGTAGTAAACGTTGCAGCTACTATACTTCTTTGCATGCAGCTAGTAACTGCTTACTAATGTATGTAGTAAATAGGTAGCAAAGAGGTAGTAAAAATTCAAGAGAGGTAGTAACAGCTGCAGTTGCTACCCTATTGCAGTTAGGTTGCAACTGTTTACTAATGTAAGTAGTAAATAGGTAGGAAGAAGCTAGGAACGGTTCAGGAAAGGTAGTAACCGTTGTCGTTACTACCTGTTCGCTTGCAGTTACTACCTTTTTACTAACTTTTTTTTAAGAGTGTACTTGTGTGTGTGTCTGTGTATACAGTAACGGTGAGTTGAAGAAAGGGTGGCTGAACAAAGGGTTTGTGTGTTGGCTATTCCCAGAATCCCGGATTGCTTCTCTCGCATCTTCACTCCAGTTCACAGCCACGCTCGCGGAACCGCAGGTGTCGCTATGGTTTGACGCCTCGGCACCATAGATTATGGGCAAATGAACAAGGGCGAACGCCCTCTGAATACAAAGCAGTTGGCCCTGCATTTCCTTTGACTGGCCAAGACGACGTATCATAAGAGGTGAGTGGCACACACGCAACGCAGCCAAAAGCAATTGTGTTTGTTGAAGGTTTGTCGCCAAGTGACTTGTTACAAAGGTACTATTTGCAAGTTGTGTGCTTTAGGGTAACGGCAACAACATGGTTGCTTACAATGCGTGTATGCATTTCTTTTTGTCGGCCTTACTTACGTCAGCTATACCGCGCATCTGGGACAAAAATTATTGCTATTAACGCGACAGCGTTCAAAGCTCATTTCGGGGAAATTCTAGCGTCGGCATCAGTGGTTGTAAGCAAAATATAATTTCATGCATGGACAAAAAAATCTAGAATGAGGAAAATAAGTTAATAAATTAATTTTGGGTCAGAGTGGGGGCCAAACCAGGTTCGTTTGGATTCGAGTGTGGATCGAAACCGGGTCGTTTGCTTTCCAAGCGGATGTTCTACCACACGGCCACGAGTCTTTTCTTTTTCATCGTGTTTATTATAAAGATGGGGTGCCTTCATGAAGATGGGGTGCCAGCCTGGTCTGAAATCAAGTTCCTTATAGATATTGTGTGACATAGTGTGTGACAATATTTTAGGCAAAGAGACATATGCATCAAATGGATTCTTGAAGCAGTCGTTAGCTCTGCGCATAACGGTCTTGCATGCGCATTTTCCAGACTGTGCAGTCCCATAAGAAAGAACAAATCAAAGGGCACTTCATCAAGACATGTTGGGTAGAGGTAACGTATAGTATTTAATTAATGTTAAAATTAGTTTGTGGCGCCAATACTTCATTCTCCCCAGACAGGTGCAATTAGGGGTCGATCCATACAATTAATACTCATCGCTTGAACACTTGTTCACTATTGCTACAATTGTCAAGGACAGCTTGCTATGTTGCAGGTAGACCTTGCCAAAGCTTTTGACCCTTCCACGTTCCTTTCTCTTTTCCCCTCTGGAGCATGCAAATTTATAGGCTCTGTTGGGCTGGAAGGTGTTAAACTTTGTGACAATGGCTGTTCAGCTCGGCTAATTATTAATGAGCCATCTGTCAAAGCTGGTATCTATTCGCTCTTAAATAAAACAAGGCTGCCCAATGTCCTCACTGCTGTTTGTACTCTACCTTGAACCGACACCATCTGTGTGTGAATAGTCAAAATAACTTCGTCAGCTTGGAAATGCAGTGCAAGCAACTTTCATGTTTGTATACATTTTTCACAATGCAACATGAGATATTGCATCAATCATTTGTGATACAAGCGCCTATTGCCAGCGGGCGTGAGAACATGTGATTGTCATAATAGCTTCGTGGTTTAAAGCCGGTGACCCTCTACCAAGGGTACACACGCTACTGCGCCTATTCCCTTAAGGCCACGTATGTGCATAGCAAGTTCAAAAACGTTTCATGCACTAAGTGTTTGAAGTACGTACTGGGAACATTATTTATTGTGAAGTAAGGAAAAAACATAACAAATACATAAGATTTATAATACATATACATACATAATACATAAGAAAGGAGATGACAAGGACTTGAAGAATTACAGGCCGATCAGCTTGCTCTCTGTAGTATACAAGCTATTTACAAAGGTGATTGCTAACAGATTAAAGAAAACATTAGAATTCAATCAACCAAAGGAACAAGCAGGATTTCGAACAGGCTACTCAACAATCGACCACATTCATACTATCAATCAGGTAATAGAGAAATGCTCAGAGTATACCCAACCACTATACATAGCCTTCATAAATTACGAAAAGGCGTTTGATTCAGTAGAAATACCAGCCGTCATGCAGACACTGCGGAATCGGGGCGTAGATGAAGTATATATAAACATTCTGGAAGAAATCTACAGGGGATCAACTGCTACCATAGTGCTTCATAAAGAAAGCAACAGAATACCAATCAAGAAGAGTGTAAGGCAGGGGGACACAATCTCCCCAATGCTATTTACCGCGTGCTTACAGGAGGTTTTCAGAAGCCTAGAATGGGAACAGTTGGGGATAAGAGTTAATGGAGAATACCTTAGTAACCTGCGCTTCGCCGATGACATTGCATTGCTGAGTAACTCGGGGGACGAATTGCAACTCATGATTACGGAGTTAGACAAGGAGAGCAGAAAGGTGGGTCTTAAAATTAATCTGCAGAAAACGAAAGTAATGTACAACAACCTCGGAAAGGAGCAGCGCTTCGAGATAGATAATAGTGCACTTGAAGCTGTAAAAGACTGTCTACTTAGGGCAGGTAATAACCGCAGAGCCTAACCACGAGATTGAAGTAACTAGAAGAATAAGAATGGGGTGGAGCACATTCGGCAAGCACTCTCAAATTATGACAGGTAGATTGTCACTATCCCTCAAGAGGAAGGGATATAACAGCTGTATCTTGCCGGTACTTAGCGACGCAGCAGAAACCTGGAGACTTACAAAGAGGGTTCAGCTTAAATTGAGGACGACGCAGTGAGCAATGGAAAGAAAAATGGTAGGTGTAACCTTAAGACGCAAGAAAAGAGCAGAGTGGGTCAGGGAACAAACAGTGGTTAAGAGTATCGCAGTTGAAATTAAGAATAAATGGACATGGGCTGGGCAAGTAGCGCGTAGGCAGGATAACCTCCGATCAGTAAGGGTAACTGACTGGATTCCCAGAGAAAGCAAGTGGGTGAGAGGGAGACAGAAAATTAGGTGGGTAGATGAGATTAGGTAGTTTCTGGGTATAAAGTGGCAGCAGAAATCACAGGACTGCGTTGACAGGCGGAACATGGGAGAGGCCTTTGTCCTGCAGTGGACGTAGTCAGGCTGATGATGATGATGATGAAGGAAAAAACAAATCCTCGGCCCGCACCATAATCATATGCAGGCAATGCCAACTAGAAAACAAAAATGAACAGGCCCAGAGCCAAGGGAAATTTTGAGGGGGAAGGATCTGCAAGAGAAGCAGACTCCAACCCCAATCGAACCGGACAAAAAAGAAGCTATTAATTTGGTGTATGTTGTTTTAATTATTACGTGGGCTTTAACGTCCCAAAACTACCATATTATTATGAAAGGTGCCGTAGTGGAAGGCTCCGGAAATTTTGACCACCTGGGGTTCTAACGTGCACCCAAATCTGAGCAAACGGGCTTACGGCATTTTCGTCGCTATCGAAAATGAAGCCGTCGCAGCCGGGATTCGATCCTGCGAGTCAGCAGCCGAGTAAACCACCGCGGCGGGGAATGGGTGTACATTGTTGATCTTGCTGTTAACATGTGTTTGATCGAGTGACGAATCTTGCGATGCACAGCTTAATGGGCTGTCTTGTATATCTTGCTCTCCTGTGGGTTGATAAGTTTTGCTGTTGATTGAAACTTCTTACTCGATGAATTCTCTGTAAAACTAAGTGTTCATTACTGACCCCCCCCCCCCCCCCACCCAGTTAGTGTCAAGTTAGTTTGCATATTAGTTGCATTAAATTTCTTCTAGTAGCAGATGGGGAAGTATGTACGCAGAGTAAAAATTCTTCTTGGGTTTTTGTTTCATTTTTTATATATAGTGATATTTAGCGGATTTAAAATGTGACACTGTCAAGTTGTTTACAATATTAGTGGTCGTTAAACTTTCTTCTTAAACTTCAGAGCTGTAATTGCATGATTCTTATTCTGAGGAAGAAAATTTGGAATGATCGCAGACGGTCCTCGACATGTGGCAGCTTGGGCTATAGTTGGTATGGCATGAAGATAGTTATAGACAGTTCTTAGAATTTTATTCTTCGTGAGTGCAAGGTATATAGTTTTCACAATTTTCGCTTCAAGATTGTTTCTTTCTTCTTTTTTTCCCCCAAGTTTTTTCTCATTGTTTCTGTCTTGATCTTTTCTTTCGTACTTTTTGTACTTTTATTCTTTCGTTTTTCTTTCATTTCTGTTGCTCTTTTTTTTCTTTCATAAACCAATTCTCGTTTTTTTTTTTGTGCTCTCAATCTTTTTTTCTTTTCTTCTTAATTGCTCGTTTTTCTTCTTTTTCTCTACAGAATATTATTATCACTTTTTACTCCTAAAGGCGAAGCTTTAGGGTATTTTTGAGTTTCTTTTTTTTTTTTGCGCACCATACACACAGTCGAGCAAAGACACCATGGGCACAAGAAACAGCCATGAATCTGTACCGACCCGACCAACTTTCAGTACTCTGGGGGAAGCGAATGTTTTTCTATCACAATTCAATGGGAAGCTTATTCTCGTATATTGGAATTGTGACCTTCAATGAGAGCTCGCAGAAACGCCTCGATTGCTGCTGTATATTAGTTGTAGAAGGTTGTCTTCACGTGATCATTTTATCATGAGCTCTTTGCGTGTCGGTGTATGCATTCGTATAACCAGTGTATGTATGCGTATACCCAGGAAGAAAACAACGTGGAACAAGCTGGAAAGTCCATGGTTGCGGCGTCATCACCGGTGACCCAGAGGACGCGAATTTCCGCCGACGCTTTAGGCAACTTTGTTCATCAGGCATGGTCTCCCACTGGCGGCCGAGCTCTCGCCGAATGGCTATATACTGGCACTGCTTATAGCAGTGCACCATTCCTAGCCGGAAAGAGGCACCATGCTTTCCGACGTCGCATGGAGTTTACGGGACGACCGAAACGACAGTGGCGTCACCGCGGTTGACAGCGGCGGACATTTTGATGCGCCCGGATGTCCGAGCGTGTGACCCACGAGCGTGCTGCCTTCGCGTGTCGAGAATAGACCACCTTCGTGTCCCAGGTGTAGTGTGTGCTGGCCGCAGCCCGTTCAAGGACGTTGACCTGCAGGGTGGGTGCGGGTGGCCTCCTTCGAAAGTGGCGTGTGTGCGTGCTGCGATTGGACAGAGCAGATCTGGGGGAAAAGACTTTCGACAGGAGACCATCATGACGTAGCGAAAACGTCGTCTTGTGTCAAGAGATTTTCAATTGTCGAAATGCTCGCTCTGTAAATGATCAATCAACCTCTGTAAAAAAAATGCCGCCATATCCACGAAGTGAATGATGATGAGTGGGCGAAGCTCCGGAGGTAAACCTGGTAAACCATGAATCCTCCGTACATTTTGCCCACTCGATTTTATTGCAACGCTCCCCCTAGCGTACGTCGCCGCACTATATCGAACGATGACACGCGCCATATGTGGCATCATTCCTATTTTATAACACCTCGCATCTTTCATAATCAACTACACGTACCGCCGTCTAGTTTATAACATCTTGCATCTTTTGGACGGACGGACGGACGGACGGACGGATATGGCTGTACCCTTTAGATCGGGCGGTGGCTAGCGTAATACTTAATGCCGTCAGCTACAAGTACCGCCATCTAGTGAACACTGCAAGAACTGAACGAGAGGTGGCTACATACAGGGGACGCACAGCCCACGCCTTAAGGAGCTTCGCTCCTAAAAATTTTTTTCACGCTGCCTCAGTATCTTCCTTAACGTTACGTTTCGCTATAGGAATAATACAACTATAAATACAGAACAACGCAATCATTTCACTATTCAAGGCAACAACAGACTAATACATATGCATATTATAATAAGACAATACAAGCAGGGGAAAACACGAGGCCAGGGTTGGGCCAAGACACCGTGAAATTGTGTCGCGAAACGATAGAAGATAGTTTGGCCAGAAGTGTTAGAGGTAGATATACAAGACACACTCGCCGTTATCGAATCATCTATGATACTGGCCAGTTGTGTCCTAGGATATTTTGATACATTCGCAAACTCGCTGTTGCAGACTTGCATAATGTAGTAGCGAAGGGCTTGAAATGTGACCCGTTTCACTTCATTGTACTGAAATTCTTCTTCCTAGCTCAAATTACGGCCTCGGCAGGGGCGTCTCTGCGAGCAGGCGTTTGGTGACTGGCGTAATCAAGGACCCCTTCAGCCATCGGGGAGTGTGTGTGTGTGTGGGGGGGGGGGGGGGATATGGTGACTTTGTCGCACGCCGTACATAGTTTGGGTCAGCTGTGTTAGGGGGGAAAGAGAATGCAGGGGGTTGATTGAATGTTCCATTTGATTGCATTCTGTTTACACACATGTACAACGTAGTGGTAAATGGAGGTGGGAGAGGAAAAAAGCCAGCTCAAACGCGGCTTGAGGGAGACCTCACATATGGTAAAACACACAATACACTATAAGGTATGGATGTCATACACTGAATAGAGAAAGAAAGCAGCGACAAAAACAAACATTTGCATAATGAATTTGATTACTCAGACAAAACGGGGAACAAAAGATGTGCCCTTCACAACACATGCAAAAAATAACGAAAAAAACGTCACGTAACCGTAACTTCTAAAACGCTGCAGTAAGGGCAGCGCATTGAAATTTTAAATTTTGACAATGTTAAACGCTGCAAATGATAACCTGCTCTGTTGTACGACTTGTCGCTCTAAAGTGCGGAACCATGCACACTTCTGGAGTAAGAGTGCTATAATGGTGTAAATTGCCGGATGGCTGTGCAAGTTCTTCCAATAAGGTAGTTGCCTTTAGCACTTTAATAATACTCGTGCAAGAGTCTAGTTTTGCAGTTATTAGGAACTTCAGTTATGTTACATTTCCCAAATGTTTACGATATGAGCCAGATACGGTAAATTAGCGACGACACATATTTTCTTCATCCAAAAAAACTGAAGGAATATTCCTGTCAAACAAAAGCCTTTAAAAACTCATTTTTTCCGCGCACTGTCACCAATTGGAATGCTCTTTCTGCCGATCTGGTGAACTGCGAGACCGTTGAGTCGTTCATGGAAACACCAGCAACCCACTTGACTTTGATCTTTCTTTGCGCTTCGCCCTCTATTATTCCACCGCGCATCCTGAACAGGCTTCCATTTATGTTCCACTTTCTATCACTTTTTTCATCTCAATGCGTTGTATTTTTTGAAATGTGGCTGATTTTTGAACCGTTATATGATGTTTGTTTCTTAGTTCTGTATGAGCAGATGTTTGTCATTATAGTTTTTTCTTGTACGTGTATGCGTAAACCACTACCATTGTGTAAGTACTGGCGTTTTACTTTGATGTACTAGTTCTTCATGGTGTAGCTCTACGTGACTTGTTTCCATTCCTCTTGTATCTTCATTTTTGTTTCCTTTTTTTGTATCGCCCACCCCTGCCTAAGGCCTCATGTGTGAGGCTGGCAGTACTTCTGAAATAAATATGAAATATTTTAAGTTAACTGAGTCGTAGTGCTGCACACTGGATACACTTATGCCGAATCTGAGATAAGAAATTTTACAGGAAAGGGTAAAGTGGTAACGAGTTAAAACACCTGTTATGCGGCGAAGTGTTCGGAGTGACGAGCATAAATGGTAGTTCCACTGCATAGTATTTGTAAAATGCACCCCTAGTCCATTTACAGAACGCAGAAGTTCTACATTAGTAGATATATACACTAATGTTCTACCTTAAAGAAGGCTTATGCCTTTGGTATAAAAGATTACAGCTTTTGTCGTATTTACATTGAAACAGTTTATTTACCATGGCAAATTAAACTATTGTAATAATTGGATGAAATGCAAATACTAGTCGTCGGCGCAAGTTGTAAATTTTGCCTTTTCGTATGTGGAAATATCATTGGAAATGATATCGATATGTGGAAATTAGCGTACAAATTGAAGAACAACGAATGCCAGGATGCTGCCCTGTACAACTCCACAAAATATGTCATTGTTTGCAGTTGCAGTTTGGCTTACAGAAAAAACAAACTAGCGTCTATTACTAAAATAGCATTTGAGTAGTTCGAGAGGTACGCCTCTAAAGTCATATTTGTCTAGCTTGTAGTGTAGGATTTTGTTACTAATGTCATCAAACGCCTGTGTAAGATCAACACAAATGCCTAATGTTCAGAGCCTATTATAGAAGTTGTGTAATATACTCTTTTTGATCAATAACTACTGCTTCCGTGGATCTGTGGCGTCAGCCAAGCCGCCAGGCTGCGTTACTCTTCGCTGCTCTCCCGTAACCTCCAGAGAACCCGAATAAAACCAGTTGATGTTTCCACGCTGTGCATGCGGTCGTGCTTGCGTCTCCCGCGCTTACACGTGTCCCAACAGATCTGTTCTTACAAAACCGAGATTGAGAATTTGAAATTGTTTTTCGCAGAAAAAATAAACCTGTGTTAAAATATTTTTTCAAGACCGTCTGAAAAAAAAAACAGGCAGGGTCGATATAGGGCGATAATTTTTCATATGTAACTTATCACCTTCTTTTTTTAAACAACACTGCAACCTTTGCAACCTTCATAACTTTGGGAAATATACCCATTGTAATACATGTTGTAAACGTGTACCAATGCAGTTACATGCATTACAGGTTTAATCTGTATATCATCATCATAGCTACGAGATGTTTTGAGTAAACAAAACATATATTTGAGGGCATGACTGTATGAGAAAATATCACTGAGTTTTCGTTTGCTGCAATTCAGGTGTTTTGTGGCATGGTGGGATTAAGGTCACCGTCTCTATGTGCAAAACAGTCGTTAGCATATGGCAAATCTTTCTCTACCAGCAATCTACCGCTCAAACTAGCTTTTTCATCTGCGTCGCGCCTCTTTTTTTTCTATTCATAAGAACATTTATTCTGTTCCACAGTTTACCCGAGTCGCCCAAACAAGACGAAAATAACTGCAGGAAGTGGGCATCTCGTGCTTTCCGAAGTCGACACTTAAAAATAACGAAATAAAGTTGTTTATTCTTTCTTTTTCCTTTAGTGATTTCCGCAATTTATTGGCTAGTGTTACGAAAACTCTTGAACGTTTTCAAATCAAGAGGCCCTCTTGATTTATTAAACTTGCCATGTAGCTTATCACGCTTCTAAATTTTCCTATACAAAGAGCATTCGTTAAACATGGTTTTCTAAGGCATTTATTTCTCCTATTTTGTAAACAAAATCTTTTTTTTTTCATAAGCGGGAAGAAACCTACCAAGAAATACATAAGATACAGTACTTTTTTTTTCTTGCAAAGCATCATCCCAGTTAATTTGCTTCAGGTCTATTTGAAAAGCTGTTAGGCAATACCCTCGGTTACTTTTTGGAAATTTTATTTTCTGCCTTTGTCAAAATTACAGCTGCTAAAACCTCGCACAAACATGCAAATAGGGTCCCTTATAGCACTGCCCAGAATAGAACTTGTGATGCAGATGGGGAGAGTGATTCGTTAGTAAATACGGAAACAATACCGTGTTTAAATTGCTGTAGTGCTAGTGTGCATTGTGCATTCACGATTTAATACTTTTTTTCAAAATCGGACCGCCGTATTGTATCCGAGCCAATGTTCACATTTATCTCCTCTAATAATCTCCGCAAATGATAATTCTTCAAACAAATCAAGAAAATGAACGAGAATACCATCGGGATGGTGGTAGCACACAAAAAAAAGATACGTTTTCCTCTTTGAACACGCAGCACTTCTTAATCATCTGTCATTCGCGAAAATTAATCGGCTATATGGTCGGCAATTAGTAAGGACGCACCTCCTCCGCGTCTTGATAGCCTACTCAGGTAGAAAGTTTTGTTGTGATAAAGCTGAAAAATGTGACTATCATTTGTATACCAGGTTTTAGTTATCATGGTGACGTCACACAGCGTGTCTGACCCCACGAAGAAGCTTTCCAATTCGGCCATTTTGTTAACCCTTTCTGCCCTGGTGTCGTCGATGAACGACATACAAAAGTTCTCCTATAACCTCGAAACCAAAACGAAATTCGCTCATTCTTGGATAAGCATTTCTTCAACTATCCCCACTGCGATCGCCACCACCATTGTTTCATTTTGGTGGAGCTTGGAGCCGTAAAGAAGCTGGACAGTACTCATAGCTGACGACACGGCGGTCAAGCAAAGCCAGAAAGGCTGCGTTTTCGGGATGAGGTCCTCAAGTTGATTTTGGAGTTTCCATACTGTCAAATAATACGTTGGGCTAGATTTTGTGTACTCTATAGGACATAGCAGGAATACATTTT